GCCGTTCAGCAGGCAACCCACTTCGGCGCTTTTCCCCCTGAATTTTAGGGAGAATTCATGGATTTTGCCGAGGCACCGGATAACCTTGAGCCAGATGATGCGGCCCCGCCCCAATCGGCCCCGGCCGAAGATCCCGGGACTACTCTGAATGATGATGACGAGACCGAGCAGACCACCAATGCCGATTAGGCGGCCTTTGTTCTTGTCTTTTTGATTCATACATCTGTTTTGTTGATGATGTATATGGATAGGGTATACTTTTTGTTTCTTTTTTGATTCCTTGGGCCGGATGAGCCACACCTGATTGTACCCCCCGGCCGTTAGTGCCGCTTTTGAATTGAATGAAGTTTTAGTTCCTATTCGGACTTTTTTATACTTGCGCATTTAAGTAGACGTTGTGCTTTCAAATGAATCGGTTTTTCTATGGAGACTTGCTTCCATTTGAACGATAAAATTGAGATTTCCTCCGGCCGAGTGAGGTTTGCTTGGGAGGGAATTATTGAATCATCCTTAACCGATCAACATGGTTTGTGAGGGAATTGTCTTTTCATCCTTGGCCGAGCGTGGTTTGCTCGGGAGGGAATGTTTCCTTGACCGAGTTAGGGTACTCGGGAGGGAATAAGTGTTCGTCCTTGGCCGAACGAGGTAGTTCGGGAGGGAATTGATTTTTCATCCTTGGCCGAGCGAGGTAGCTCGGGAGGGAATTTATTTTTCATCCTTGGCCGAGCGAGGTTGCTCGGGAGGGAATAAGTGTTCGTCCTTGGCCGAACGAGGTAGTTCGGGAGGGAATTGATTTTTCATCCTTGGCCAAGCGAGGTTGCTCGGGAGGGAATTGATTTTCGTCCTTGACCGAGGTGGTACTCGGGAGGGAATTGCTACTTCGACCTTGGCCGAGGTGGTACTCGGGAGGGAAGTGTTTTTCAACCTTGTCCGAGTGGAAGTGCTCGGGAGGGAAAGCATTTTCGTCCTTGACCGAGGTGGTACTCGGGAGGGAATTGCTACTTCGGCCTTGGCCGAGATTGCTCGGGGGAGGATTTCGTGATTTTAACTTGTGACTAAATTGGTTTAGTGAAAATTTTCTCAAAAAGGAGCTTGTTTCATTGATATGGTGTCTCGTTAAAAACCTTTTCTCGGGAAAACCTCTTTTCACATTTTTCTAAGAGGAGAAAACCTGGAAGAGGAAAAGAGTACACCGAAACAAAATTACAATTGGTATGTTAACTAAAGTAATGTTTCAAGTGTGTTGCATTCCAAGTGCGGGGTATAATCTTTCCATTGAGTTCTTCTAGTTTATAAGCCCCGTTCTGTAGGTCGTTCCTTATCCGATACGGCCCATCCCAATTGGGTGCTAACTTCCCCTGAGATTTATCTTTTCGTGCTTCCCCTGTGACTCGCCATACTAAGTCCCCTGCTTGAAACTGACGAGGTTTTACCTTCGTTATGATCTTCCTAGCTGCCCTGGTCCGGCAAGCTTCCATATTGATCAGGGCCGACTCGCGTGTTTCATCGACTAGGTCCAGCTCTATGTTGAGAGCTTCCTTGTTGGTATCATCTTCAAATTGCTGTCGTCGAAGTGAAGGTTCCCCGACTTCTACCGGAATCATGGCGTCGGTACCATAGGTTAACCGAAATGGGGTCTCTTTGGTAGAACTTTGAGGAGTACAGCGATATGCCCATAGAATCTCTGGTAGGTGATCTGGCCATGAGCCCTTGGCTTGCCCGAGTCGTCGCTTCAATTCTTTGAGGATAACTTTGTTTGCAGCTTTGGTCTGTCCGTTGGACTGGGGATGCTCAACTGAAGTCATTTTGTGTTTGATGCCTAACTCTGAAAGGAAGTCATTGAAGCGCCGGTCGGTGAACTGTAATCCGTTGTCAGAGATCAAAGCGTACGGGATGCCGAAGCGTGTGACCACGTTTTTCCAAAAGAACTTCTGGACGTTGTTGGCGGTTATGGTGGTCGCTGCTTCTGCCTCGATCCATTTAGTGAAGTGGTCTACCGCTACGATAAGAAACTTCATTTGTCCTTTGGCCGGTGGGAAGGGTCCCAGTATATCCATGCCCCAAATGGAGAAAGGCCAGGGGGTGGAGATAGAATGCAACTCTTCTGGAGGTTGATGTGTTAACGGACCGAATCGTTGACAAGGTTGACACTGCCGAACGAATCCGGTGCAATTAGTGGTTAAGGTCGGCCAATAGTATCCTGCACGGATGATTTTGGTTGCGAGGGTTCGGCTTCCCGAGTGAGTTCCACACACGCCTTCATGGACTTCCCGGAGAACGTAGTGTGCTTGTTCAGGGGTGAGACATTTCAGGAGTGGTGTCGACAATCCTCGCTTATACAATTCCCCGGCAATCAAGGTGTATCGTGCTGCCTTCACTCTCAATTTTTTAGCTTCAAGAGGATCCTCGGGTAATTTTCCAGTTTGAAGGTGATGTGTTATGACATCCATCCAGCAGTGGTTTCCCGGTTCCACCTGCAGACACTTAACTTCATTAACGCTCGGGCTCGGAAGCTCTTGTTGTTTCATACTTCGCAAATGGCTGATTTTTTTAGTGCTAGCCAGTTTGGCTAGCTGGTCGGCTCTGGTATTGTGTTCCCGGGGAGTGTATGTGACTTGGACATCCACAAAACTGTTTTTTAGTCTCTGGAAGGCATGGAAGTACAAAAGCAACGTCGGCTCTTTAACCTGGAAAGTGCCGTTGACTTACCCTGTCACTACTTGCGAATCACTGAAGCACTGGATTGTTGCAGTGCCCAGATCGTTCGCCAGTCTCAGTCCTGCAAGGAGGGCCTCGTATTCTGCCTGGTTGTTAGACGTTTTGAAGCCGAACCGTAGTGACTGTTCGATCACTAATTTACCTGGGCCTTCCAAGATAATGTCGGCGCCGCTACCTTGCTGGTTTGACGACCCGTCCACGTGCAGAGTCCACAGGTTGGATTCGGGAAACGCTTGTGGGGCGAATTCGTTCACAAAATCGGCCATGCTTTGCGCTTTAATTGGTCCTCTCGGTTCAAAATGAATGTCGAACTGCGACAGCTCAATGGACCATGCGACCATTCGTCCTGCCAATTCCGGCTTGCGCAAGACTTTAGTTATGGGGCTATCTGTTCGAACGAGTACCCGGTGACTTTGGAAGTAGTGTCGAAGACGTCTAGCGGTGTGAACAAGAGCTAAGACCGTCTTCTCGAGGTGCTGATATCTCGTCTCGGCGTCTTGTAGCACTCGGCTAACGAAATATACCGGCATTTGTTCTATTTTTTCTTGTACCAAGACAGAGCTGATGGCTTTGTCTGAGACTGATATGTATACGATCATGTCCAACCGAGGGTCTGGTTTGGTCAGCAATGGTGGAGTTGCTAGCGTTATCTTCAGGTCTTGAAAAGCCGACTCGCATTCCTCGTTCCACTGAAACTTGGTAGCCTTTTTTAGTAGGGACATTATGGGCTTTGACTTCTCGGCCATGCAGGGGAGAAAACGAGCCAAGGAAGCGATGCGTCCGGCCAGCCTTTGCACTTCCTTTACGTTGCGAGGGCTCTTCATGTTGATGATAGCTTGACACTTGTCGGGGTTGGCCTCTATCCCTCTTTTTGACAACATGAATCCCAAAAACTTTCCACCAGCTACCCCAAATGTGCATTTTGCCGGATTTAATCGCATATGGTGACGCCTTACTTCCTCAAATATCGTGACGAGGTCTTTTAGGTGATCACCGGCCGAAGTGGACTTGATCACCATATCGTCCACATATACTTCAAAACATGTCCCAATCTGCCGACGGAAAATCTTGTCCATGAGGCGTTGGTAAGTCGCTCCTGCGTTTCTCAAACTGAATGGCATTACCTTGTAACAAAAGTTGGCTGAATCGGTGATGAATGCAGTTTTTGCTTCGTCCGGTGGATACATGGGTATCTGATTATACCCTGAGTAGGCATCCAAGAAGCTTAACATGTGATGACCGGCTGCTCCATCAACCAACGCGTCAATGTGCGGCAGGGGGTAGGCATCCTTTGGGCATGCTTTGTTGAGATCCGTGTAGTCGGTGCACATTCGCCACTTTCCGTTTGCCTTCTTGACCATCACTACGTTAGCTAGCCAGGTTGAATACTTGACTTCCCTAATGAATCCTGCCTGTAGCAGCTTAGTCGTTTCTTCTTTTACTGCTTGGGATCTTTCCCCCCCCCCCCATTTTCCTCTTTTTCTGCGCGATCGGCTTGGCATCTCGGCAAACCGAGAGTCTGTGGCAGTGGAAGCTAGGGTCGATGCCCGGCATATCGGCTGCTGTCCAGGCGAACAGATCTGAATACATCAGCAAGACTTGCTTAATGTTCTCTGCATCATCATCTGTTAATTGGGAACTTAGGTATGTGACTTGATCCTCCACCTTCCCGAGCTGGAAAGGGATTGTTGTTTCCGTCGGCTCAACCCTATGTTCGTCCTCTATTCTGGGATCAAGTTCTAAGCCCCTCATCTTGTATTGACCAATATCTCCAATGACATTGACGTCTCGGCGTCGGGTCGTCTTCGGAGTCGGTTGTACCTTTAGACTGGCCAGGTCACATTCGCGGGCTGTCTTTTGATCGGCGTGCAGTGTAATGATCTTGCCTTCTTTAGATGGAAATTTCATTGCCAAGAAGGGGTAGAGACGATGGCTCTAAGCCTGTTCAGGGAAGGTCGACCTAAGAGGATATTATACGACGTGTTAGCACTCACCACAACGTACCGTATTTTTATCCTTCGTCTCTGCTGGTCGTCTCCGAAATAGGTGTACAGATCTATTGTTCCCCTTGTGTCCACTCGTTCACCTGAGAATCCCACCAAAGGTTCATCGTAAGGCGTCAATTCCTGTTCGGGGATGCCGAGCTGTTCGAAAGTCTTCCAGTATAAGATGTCAGCCGAGCTTCCCTGATCGACAAGAGTTTTTCTTACAATACAGTTGTTAATTTCCACACTGATGACCATGGGGTCATCTTGCACTAGGTCGACGCCTTGAAAATCTTGATCAGTGAATGTGATAGGGGGCATACGAATGGCAGATGTCCGCCCTATGGTGTTAACCGATTTGATCGCCCTTAGGTGTCTTTTCCGGGCCGACGAAGAACTTCCTCCTCCTGCGAAGCCTCCCGCAATGGTGTTTATAACTCGCCTGGGTTGGTTTCGGTCTCGCTGTTGACTGTTTCTTTCTTGAGACCTGCTGCGTTCACGGGATCGGTTCTTGGGGGGTGCTCGCTCTCGATTCTCTCTTCGGCCCTCCTCCCTGCCTGTACGATAATTGTTTCTCCTGTTATCTCCTCGAACAAAATTTTGGAGATGTCCGGCTTTAACGAGATCCTCAATACGATCCCGAAGGGCGGAGCACTCTTCAGTAGAGTGTCCTCTATTCCTGTGGAATTGACACGCCTTGGATGTGTCGGCGTGAGGCGGGGTCATGGCTCTTCGGGGAACAGCTAGTACTTCCGTGGCTAACGCCTGCTCCAACACCTTGGCCCTACTCGTGTTAAGCGGCGTGTATTGCATGTACCTTGGACCTCTGTTATTCTTCTCTCGGTTGGTGGTGTCTCGGGGACGAGGTCTGGGGAGCTCCTTGTCACTTTCTTTTTTGGCGAGAAACAAGTCGGGTCGGTTTTGACTTCTAAATTCAGCCAATTCCTCCATCTGCATGTATTTCGTGGCTCTTTGTCTCAGGTCGTCAAGGTCTCGGGGTGGTTTTTTACACAAGCTATTGACGAATGGGCCAGGTCGTAATGTCGTGGTTAAGTGATGCATGGCAACGGCTGGGTCCAAATCGCGAATAGATAGTGTCATTTTTCCAAACCTCTCCATGAAAGTTCTAAGAGGTTCCTTCTTCTCTTGGCGAATGTTGACCAACGCGATCGAGGTGAGTTGGTGCGGACGGCTCGTAGCGAATTGTATCGCGAACCGGGATGATAGAGTTGTGAAGGAATCAATCGATCTTGGTGGGAGTCTTGTGAACCAGTTTAACGCCGGTCCTTTTAGTGAAGTGGGGAAAACTTTGCACATGACAGCTTCGTCATCCGTGTACAGGCCGACCTGTGTGACGAACGCGTCTAGATGTTCTTCTGGGTCGCTGGTTCCGTCATACCTTTCTAGAGCTAAATTCTTCCAGTTGTCCGGTAATCTAGCTCCCATGATGTCTGGAGTTAAGGGCGTTCTTCCCTGTCGACGTTGTTGATCTTGCGTTGTCGTTGGTCCGCCCGATGGCTGAGGGACCTTAGTCTCCTTGTACCATCCCGAGGACTCACCTTGATCTCGGGTTGAGTGATTGTGTGTACTGTGCGACGGGTGCCACGTCCGATTATCGCTCCTGAGCTCGGCGTTTTCCCTTCTCAGGGCCGACAGTTCGTGAGCATCCTTTTCTCTGAGCCTTCTGAGTTCCATCATTTCGGCCTTCAGTTGCTCGATGGCCGAAGACGGATTAGGTTGCTGAGACCGGTCCACATACGATTCTTCCATCCCATCCTCGTTCTGATTATTTTGTCGTCCGATGGTGTCCCGGGGCATCCCGAAAGGGTATTCGGTTACGTTCTCCTGTTGACTTCTAGTAGTTACCATCTTGCTTCAGGGTCGAGAACCGTTTTGGTTTCGGCCCCACGGTGGGCGCCAAAATGTTCCTGCGTAGGAACACTCCTCTCGTCGTTCTTCCTGCTTAATCTTCTAAGTCTTCAGTCCCGATCGAACACCGTCTTTAAAGGGTGGGGAGGGTACCTGCAAAGGCACTCCAACGATCAAGTAAGTGTTCGGTATAGAGCAATAAATGCCTTTATGTTGAATAGTAACGTACCTCATTTATGTCACACCACCTGTATATTTATAGTGACATATGCGGGCCTGATGGGCCTTCATCCTTGGGAAATGGGTAATACATGACTTAACCTTAATCCTGTCTTAATCTGGTATGGTAATTAATGCATAGTAGGCATTTGGCTTGCCACGTGTTTATCATAGGCTCTTTCTTCAGGTTTTCGGTTAAGCATAAGGCCGAAGGGGTGCTCGACCAAGCTTGTGGCCGAAGGGGTGTTCGGCCAAGCTTGGGGCCGAAGGGGTGTTCGACCAAGCTTGGGGCCGAAGGGGTGTTTTGAATAGCTTCAGATCCCTTCTCTTTGGGTTTTTGGCTACCCACGAGACCGAGGGAGTGTTCGGCCAAGCTTGGGGCCGAAGGGGTGTTCGGCCAAGCTTGGGGCCGAAGGGGTGTTGTGTTTCATCGGCTAGGGCACTCCTTTCGGTCTATTGCCTGACCTGAGGGGGCAGTTGGTGTGGCTCCTTGGTTCAGGCCCCCCTTTTCGGCCTATTGTCCGACCGAAGGGGTGCCAATTGGTGCGTTTCATTAGTTTGGGCGCCCTTTTCGGCCTATTGCATGACCGAAAGAGTGCTTACTAGTACAATTGTGTATTTTACTTCCTGTCTTTACATATGGCATCAAGAGTCTTGTCCAACTGACGAGAATCAGAGACATACCTTAGTCTTCAAAAATTCCACACACATAAATCTAGCTTATGTGTTCAACCTCTGTAACATTTCTCTTCCAAGTGATAATATATATATATATATATATTAATTTCTCTATTGTATCTCCTGAACCCCTCTCTCTCTCCACTCACGCGCCCACTCTCATTTAATATTATGTTACAATATATTTTATAATATTTATGATATATAATATGAGTTGTGTTCAAATAATTAACATTGAAAATGTATTATAATCCTATTACGATAAATTTTATATTATTCTGTTTGTGCCATTTATTATTCACCAAATAATACATAGGATAAAAGAAGTTTTTATTTGACTTAAGTGTTTATCTTATCACTCCTATATTGTTCTCTTTGTATTATGTTTATGTATATCAAACACGTCTTAAGTATATATTTAGAAATTATTATTTTAAAGAAATATATTATTTATTAAGAAAGATAACAAATAAACATTATTTATATTTTTTCAATAAATTGATTTTTATAATTTTGTTATAAAAAATTATTTGATTAAAGACAGAAATATCACAAATCTAAAACAAGTTTTTTCTTTTCTTTTATTTTATTTTGCTGGATAAGTAAAACTTAACTTGCCCATTTTTAGATATGAGACCATAAGCCCAATGATTTGCACCAGTTTGAAGGCCTGCATTTAAAACTCGAGCCTTTCTTTAAGGCAAGCCTCATAAAGCGAAAATAGACTTAGGTCCCCTGTCCAAGTTGTCAAGACCACACTAGTTTGTATCCATTTGACACTTATTTAGTTATAAAGCGAATATTAGGATATGGATGTGACATTTCAAATTAATAAAAATAATTTATTAAGATTATTATTATTATTTTATTTAAAATTTACTTCTAAAAATTATAAGATGTAAATTTATAAAAAGAGAAGAAATAGTGAGACAATGGTCATGTGACCATTCAAGACCTCAAAACATATATGAGTGATTATGAATAAATAATTTTGCTATCCAGTTATTGTGATCTACAATTATATGGATTGGGTGATTGTTGACTGGTTTGTGTTTTCTTGAGACACTTTTCTATTTCTGAAAAAAATCAATGTAGTGTCACGCTTCATCGATCATCGACTAAAGCCAAATGTTGTGCCATGGTCACTGAATATATTTCTAGTGGGTATAGGTACAAGGTATCATGGGTTTAATTATGTGCCTCCACTGTGACAATTAATTAAGTTGTATAAACAAACAACCTTTCATGAACACAACAAAGTAGATTACTTCCGATGAGGTCTTACAAGACAAAATTTAACCTTCCTTTGTTTCTACTCATTCTTAGCTTGTAAACCTCTTCACAAAGGTTTTGGGAACATCGCAATTCAGTCAGTCATTCAAAACCTTCATGCATCAATTTAAGGAAAGTATTAATTAGTAATTTAAAAGATACATATGTGCCAAATTTGCTCATTATGTATGCTTTACTTATTAAGAGACACATAATATTGACATATTTACTCATGAAAGAGACATATATTTAGCAAATGCTCATGTAGCTTCTATTTCTTATCTTGTAATTTTAATTGATTATTTATTATGGTATGTTTCGATGAAAAAATTTACAAATTTAAAGAATTTGAAATTTTTTGAAATTTAAATTACTTTAATTTTAATTTCTATATAAAAAAAATATGTATGTTAAATTTTGAATTCTTGAGATTTTAATTGATTTTTGTTATAGTATATTTGATTTGAATTTTTTAACTCCTTCTATTCAACAAAAAAAAAATGTATGTTGATTTTTTTTTCTCTCTTAATTTTTAACCTTTTTTTTTATATAAATAATATATCATGAATTTTAATTTTATCTTAATTAATCATTAAACCTCACTTTATTAACAAATTAAATACCTTTAGTTTTAATTTTGGCTTAATTGATTTATAATTTTTTTCCTTTTTGCAAAGAACTCTTTGATTAAATTAATAATAAAAAAGCATAATATTTTATTCACCTTAAATTTCAATAATTTGCTATCTTATTTAATTATAATATTTTTTAAAATATTAAAAATAATAAAATCTTATATATAAAATACAAACATGTATCTTATATGAGGATATTTTCAAGAAATTTTCTTTGATGAAAGGAGATTTAATAATTCTTTTAATTTCTTATCTAACTCATTTTTTATTTATCATAACTATTTACAAATTAAAAATAACTAAAATAATTTTATACTAGCTACAATATAATATTTATCATAAATATAAAATATTATTTATATATT